GTTTGTGCTCATTACCCTGCAAAACGTTATATATCTACTAAAATGGGAGTTTCTTATTTGGATTTAATATAAATTTGGACCTGCTTTGAATAAAAAGGGATTATCATGTGCTGACTACACCTGACTGCCAAAATTATTATGATTCGGCTTTAAAGCCACAACAAACAGATGATGAAATGTAAGCAAAAGCTAGTCTACCAGCCAATTAAATCAAAAATAAAATGCCAAAATAGTGTTGATGATGATGGAGATGATGATGTCAGTAAGTGATGTGCAATTTGCAAAACAAGTAATTCAGATCGGCAGAAAATGTCGGGTGTTAGTAGACTCCACTTGTCTAAATAAGTACATTTTGCGGGTAAACATTTCCTTTTTTTCGGGTTTATATTTTCCTGGCTGCAGGAAAGCCAAGTCATCAACTATAGTAGCATATTTTGGTACCGGTGCAAAGACATGGTACCAATTTTTAAGTTAATACAGAAACCTGTTGACAAACAGGATAGCAGATAGCAACACATAGCATTCACTGATATGTATGTGCACCTGCTTAATGTAGTTCCAATATTCACCCTCTTTTAGCCCTGTTTCGGTCGGAATCAACCTACGCTCAACCCATGCTTAGCAGGTAGCAGGTAGCATATATCAGATATACAAAAGCTTTTTCACTGAAAACGCAGCTGCCTGCTGCAGCTGAAAACGAGGATGACAGAAAAGAGAAAACCAATAAAGTAAAGTTCTTGGCTGACATAGGCACAAATGTCCCAAAAGAGTCAATTGTGATCTTCTGTTGCTTTGTCAAAGCAGCGCACTCTTTCATATATTTCGTTATTGTTAATATAAAAACAGCAGCTTAACATTTCAACAACTTTCAAAGTCTGTCTTACAAGTCTGTAAATAACATGTATTCTCCTCATGATGTTTGATGAAGGCCAAAAGGAAAAGATGAAGCAAAAGGAAATAAAAAATGTGTACCATAAAAAGAGACTGTAGCAGTATTGATACAGTAAGATGAGCCTGTGATAAATAAACACTGAATAATTGAGAGCGAAGCGACCTTATATTAGCTCTGCATGCATATTTACCAATTATCAGTTACTTTACATAACAGTGAAACAATAGCTGCAAGCAAAAGATGCCTGCAGCAATTATATCTCATAATTTGCAAGAATCTTTTAATTGAGTCAGCAGGTTTCATTCACGTCTCAAGGATGGACGGTAATTATTGTGAATGACTCCATAAAAACACAATTAACAGATGATGCCGTGTCACATTAAAGTGTAGAATGCGTTTATCCAACAAGCAGCATAAGCAACAAATTAAATAAAGGTGTGGGGGCCCAGGGGAGACGTGACTAATGGTGACTTTGTTCATGTTTACTCCTCTCCCCTCCATTGCTCCCAGAGTCTGCTTCCTCTTTCTTTTTTCCTATTAAGCAGAAACAGGGTTTAACAATCAGTCAGACAACATGCTGATTAAATGACAACATGCTGATTAAATGCTGTTAGTGCACTTAGTTTCAACTCCATAATAATCATGAAACGTATTTATTAACAAGTTTACAAAGTGCTTCCCAGAGAAAAACAGCAAATAAAACCAGACACCCAAAGGGGAGAGGTGGGAGGTGTGTGTGAGAGAACTTATATTGCTCTTTCAAACGTTGTTTTATACGGATTGTACACTTTATCAATGCCATGTCAAACTGGCAATTAACATTTTGTGGACGTTTTTTATTTTGCCTATTTTTGCAACGTGACTCTAGGGATGGCAATATTTGTCTGTCAGCTGTTGAATTAAATATATCAGTAACTGTTTTACGGTTTGTCATAACATTCGGTATAGACATCCATGGTCCCTAGAGGATGAATCCGTCTGACTTTGGTGATTGCCTGACTATCGGGTGGTTGCAATTTGTCATTTTTTTGTGAAAAGTCTTGTCAACTACTGCATTGATTGACATGAAATTTAGTACACACTTGGTTCCTGTTCCTTCTTTTCTTTCAGTGCCATTATGAGATCACACTTTATAAACAATACAAATTCTACCAGCCTCAGCTTTGAATTATACTCAGTGGTAATTAGCTTACCTAAGATGACCAGACAGAAAACATTATAAATGTGAACGCTGTGAACATGTTAGGATTGAGCAAGTGCAGGCACACAAAGCCACTTGCATTGCTTTAGACTTGCTGTGTGGTTTAAACAAGAATCCAGTGTTAGCTGCAGTATAAGAATTTTGTCCAGACCTCAAAATCTGAGAACTTCTCTCAAGATGGAGATCATGATTAAGAAATGATTAAGTGCAAAACAACATTGCACAATGCCCAAGTGAATTGTTGAGTTCTGATTTTAGGGAAGCCATTCAAAAGAAATCACACGCATAAAATATGAGTTCAACACCATGAAAAACAGATGTGTTGTAATAATGATGTACACACATTGAAAACTATAAGTAGCCTTTACGCATAAATGATTTGAGTGGAATCAATACAAAACGCTTTAAGGTCTGTGTACTGTGTTGGCCCATTCAGCTGGCCCTGTTACACGCAGAAAGAAAGTGATGCATTGGATTTGAAATGTCTGCTTTTAGAAAAATGAAAAAGAATGAGGACGTGTATATATATATATGAATGCTGTCCATATACAAAACTTTATTCTAATGACGTTCACACTGTTTCGATTTGTGTACTGTACACAGCTTGTAGTAAGTAAACATGGTGACCTGCTGTCTTTGAGCTTCAGTTTGTGTTCAGCTTGAGATTTTTCTAGTTTTAAGTCAATATTATTAACACATGTACTGTATATATGTTTGCAATAATCCATGCTGTTTTCTCTCGCTCATCTAAGTATTCAAAACCATCTATCTTTGTCGTGTAAAAAAGAAGCCAGAATATATTTAGCCATTTAAGGAACATGCTACACCAATGAACATTCCTGTACATTCTGGTTTTGTTTCAGGAGCAGCATTGAGTATAGGGACCACCAGATATTTTATGAAGAGGCTGTGAAAAGTTGCCAGAACCAAGTCACTCACTCGATCAGCAACACTTGATGGAGGGTGTGTCAAAATGCTGTAGAGCTGAACCGTGCCGATGTGAAACAAACAGTTTTATATGTTGCTGCAACCTCTTATTCTGTTGCCAAATGTTTTATTTTGAACTATTATCCTCAATCGCAACTTTCATTACACACATGTTGCATCAGCTTCTCCTGCTTTCCATTACAAAACCACCATTATTTATTTAACCATTGTTTAACCAATATTTTAAATGTCATTGACATTCAAATATTTTTTCCAAGAAAGACCTGAAACCAGGGAACATTCAATAAACACGCAATAAACAGGTCATAAAAAATAGTTTTAGTAATCATAAAAACATCAAATATTAAAGCTTTACATTTTAAATGGAACCATACATTATAACTCTTGTTTGAGAGCAGTTTGCAACTCATTTAATTAAAAAAGGTGCATCAAACCAGGTCTGCCAACATGAATGTTTACATGAGGAAATAAATTAGGTTAGGTTACTGGATTGTGTAGTTACTTAAATTAAATGAGAAAAAAGGTGTGAAACTATAAGAGTCAAGCTTTATAAATGAACAAGATGAATGTTATTCTTAAGCATAGTGACATTCATCAAAACCTGGGATACAGAGAACAATGCGTCTGAAATATATAATTTGTGACATAGCTTAATGCACTATGCATGACCAAAGAGAATATCTCCATAGTCAAGGAAGGCCATGAAGGCTCACTGCACAATAGTTTGAAGAATGGTTGGAAAATATACTTTAAAACTTTTTAAATAGATATCCTTAAATTCTAAAAGTCAAATGTTGCATGTAAATCTTGAATGACAGTCTACTGTCAAGAAACATTTCATCAAATGGACTCAGCAAGTGAATGGGCTCGAGAAGAGAAATATTGGTGCATTTTGACATTTTCTTGGCAGGAAAGAACGGGAACCCGATGTTCAAAGGCTGAGTCCTTACCGGAGCGGTCCGAGATCAAATGTTACTTGCTGTCTTTTGCTGCATGTCTTTCCCGGGATTATTAGGCTTTTGTTTTCACATAAAAGGAAAACTTCAAAAACATATTTAAAAAAAAACAATAACTGTGATTAAGTAGTGATAATTGGAATGGATTCAAGGCAGATTGAATGTGAGTCAGGACCTGGAATGTAATACTACACACGAGATCTGCAATAATCACTGGTAATTTTATGTTTTTAATGAACTTTTGTGGATTTATTTTATGGTCTGGTAGTGCAGTAGTGGTAGTATTTTTTCACCATTTATTATTCATTGTGCAGTCATTATTTTAACAAGTATGTGGTAATGTTTGAATCTGGTTTGTATCTTATAAATGCTTGCGCGGTTACTTTGACCTTATGTGAATTCCTAGTTTATAACCTTAAAATGGGACATGAAGACAAAGGGAACACACTGGTTGACTGCAAACATGTCAAATTAGCACTCTGGTTTTATGATTGTGACTTTAAGGATCTAATGAACCTTGGACAAAAGTTATTATCAGTGGTTTATTTCATGACTGATGGACACATGTCGGAATATTTTATAGAGTAGATGTGTTTTGACATATAATGGCTGGGATCTAACCGCATTAAACAATATCAGTTGGAAATATATATATACAAACAGTATATTGATATGAAAAGGCCAAGGCAAACATTTATAGCACAATATGTGCACTATATTGAGCGGCAAGCCTTGTTGATGAGTCACTTTCCCTGGTAAATAAGTTGATAACTGTTGAAGGGGTTACTATGTAAGACAGAAACAAGTTTTTATGGTTGGAGATCGTGTAACATTTTTACTGTATTGAGCAATAAGGATAAAGGCCCACATTTCCTCCAGAACAAGAGAGAAAAAAAACCTGGAGCAGTGTCAGCTTACACTGTTCTCTCTTGTGACACCATCAGGTGTACTTTGAACAGGCTTGTGTTTGGTTAAAACCTGCAGGATGGGTGGGGTAATGTGATGTGTCTTAGACCAGACAAGGTGAAGTCTCCTGTTATAATACGTGCTCAGGCAAAGAACAGACTTGAATGGAATCTGTTAGCTCTAACACCGGAGAGACCGCACGCAAAAGGATTACTACTCTTTGGAAATAACATATTTGTCTTACATTTAGTCCACAATGGAAGCAACCAGTGATACCACAAAAATCTTGGAGAAGGGTCCTGAATACCTTCGAAAACAAATGGAATTGGAGAGTGAGACAAAAGGAGGCATGAGTGCTGTGGAGAGGCTAGCTGCAAGCAAACTGAAATATGTCAAAAGCGAAAAGGTGGTCCACTCTACTCAGGCGCCAGTGATCAGTATTGGATCCGCCTCTGTGAGTAGCACTGGGTCTTCTATCCGGAGCTTGAACCGTGGTGGGAATCGTGTCACAGGGAGTAACTCCAGAGAGACTGCATGTGGTGTACAAATCACCAGCTCGCCAGGGCAGGTACGTCGGTCCAGCTCCAAAAAACGACCAGACTCTATTATGCTCTACAGACAGAAGTGTGATTTACTGAGAGGGTCAACATTGGACCGAAAACACCACATAACACGTAGGTTGCTGCAGAGCTCCGTGCGTAAAAATGTTTTGTTACCTGAGGCCACAGATAAGGAGTGTGAAGCTGAGGGTGACAAGGAAACAATCACAACACCTGTGGGAACAGTAAAGGAATGCAGCTCATATGTAGAAACCTCTCTATCCCAGCGGAGGAGGAATGGACAAGCAGGGCAACACAGCAAAGAAAACAGTGGGTCTGGGTCAAAGGTGACAGGTGGGGTTTCGAAGAATTCTGCTGGTCTCCTAACAGTTCCTGAGGTTGAAAGGAGGTCTGGCAAAGGGGTCAGCCGTTCTCATTCTGATATCAGCTCCAGGTACTCCAAAAACTTCACAGACTTTGATCATTTTTTCAAGTACTGTGGGCTGGGCAGTGATGTTATTGACTCATTTGGGAAAGATAACTTCTCTTCACGCTCAGCTGAAATTCAGATCAACATCCGGAGTTTTAGCACCTCTACGTCAGACGATGGTTTCTCCAAGAACAGTGGTGACAGCGATGGATTAATGGAAGAAGAGTTACATGAAAAGATAAGTCAAGGGACGTCAGTTATTGAGCGCAATGCAAGGATCATCAAATGGCTGTACAGCTGCAAAAATGCTATAGAGACTGGGCAAAAATTAAGAGACCTCGATTGAGATAACTGCTTAGTAGTTGGTGTGTTTGGATGAGGTGAATACTTATCCATGTGTGTGTGTGTGTGTGTGTGTGTGTGTGTGTGTGTGTGTGTGTGTGTGTGTGTGTGTGTGTGTGTGTGTGCCCATTTGTTGTTTTCTTACATTTTTATGCATAAGGTCAGTGTGTGCCAATTTCAGCAAATGCTTCAGGGAGTAAAAAACACTGGCCAAAAATGCAAAAACACTCATCTCCACTGATACACATCATATTTTCCATTTCTTAAATTGAAATAAATAATTTGGCCTAAATAAATCGTTAAAACACTTACGGAGTTCCTACCATAAATTGTTATTGATGTTTTGCAATGGTAAATACATAGTCATTAACCTAACGTGAGTTAAAAGCTGCTAATGTTCGGTTGTCAGGTTGGAAAAATTCCATTTAGCTGATGTTCTCCCTTTCTGTTGTTTTAAATGACTCTCAGATGTTGCTATAACCATTTAATCCATTACTAAATCCCGAATAATGTGTTAATCTATTAAGTAATCATCATTCAATCACAATCTGGCAACTCAATGTTTTTAAATAACCATTCTATAAAACATTAGTAATTGGTATATTATCCATTTAAAAGCGTATATACCATTTATAAAAGGCCTTCTAAATGAAGGCTTGGAGATGGTACTGTTGAAATGATGTTCCTCTGCAGGGTCTTTAGGTCACGACAAGCATGTGCCCTTGAATCATAATTTATGTAACCTGCTTCTTAAGATCATAATCCAATGAGTGCACTTACCATTTCTCTCCAGGTGAAAGGTGTACATTCCTTCACACACACACACACACACACACACACACACACACACACACACACACACACACACACACACACACACACACACACACACACACACACACACACACACACCACACATTGATGTTGTTAGGATCAAGGGTTTCTTGTTGACACAAACATCACTGGTAAATCATTAAATGTAACTGCAGCCAGACATAAAAGCTGTTAGTTTTTAGTTGTGTTCCATTAACAGACTTAAAGAGTTTGTCTGTGAGTTCTGTGTGAGAGGAATGTACCTAATAACCTGATAGGCTTAAATCCAGTGACCCGATGTACGTGTATCTCCACTTCCCTTCAAATCTCTGTCTGCTTTGTTTCTTTAACACTTTTCCTCTCTTTCTGTCTTTAGCCCTTTTTTAAGCTGAGCAGAAGCAGTAACATGAGTGGGGGGGGGGGGAAGCAACAGACACTATTGTGAATTGTTAGTGTTAAACTGAGTTAATCCCCACTCTGTTTTTCTCTCACACACTCAGAAGCAAACAATAAGTAGGTGTAGAGTATATGTGGGTTGATACTGCTGCACCTATGTTGTAGACACGCCTTTACTTCTTCCAGGAGCCTGGCTGACTATTTCCCCTCAAGACAAGTCATGTCATGCCCTCTCTTCTTGTATGTTGCCACCAGAACGTAAAGCTACTGATTCAACGTTTCACATGTGGTTCAACCTACAGAAATGTACCGTGAGTGCGCAATGTGTGATGACTGACTGAAAATGAACACTGTGTGCATTCATTCCTGTAGGCTTGCAAATGTCATCTTCTATCAGATCAAAAAAACGATTGACCAGGGTGGGGGAGGGGATTGGTTTACAGTGGCTCCATTTTATACTAATATTGGGATTTTATTATGTTAAATTGTTGTTAATACTATTCCAACACTAATGACTGGTGTTGCTGCTGCCTGTGTAACTTGTGTTTTATATTCAAGTACTGTACATTTTGCTACACAAATACAATTATTATTTTTCTTACAAGTAAACTGTTGATTGACTTTATACACAGTAATACTAAATACGTGTATCAAAAAAGCGGATGAAAGGAATAAACAATACCATACTGCTTTGAGGTGTTTTTTTAATGTAATATATTTGGCCAAAAGAGGGCAGCATCTACTACTGTAGCAGGACTGAACCTAGTCACAGTCCAGGCATACTAAACTTTTGACTGCACTGTTAACACATATGCCCAGAGGAACAATAACAACATATAAACCATTTTCGAGGTACGTATTATATGTAATAGTATTTGGAGTTACTTTTAGGAAGACAAATAAAACTAAACAAAACGAATGTTTTGGCTGCAGACTTTGTCCCTCAGATGAGCTTACATAAATGTTGTGGACGTGAGATGTTTTACTTGTGCCATTAAAATTATGATACAGTATTTGAATTGGGTTTGAATACTGTGAGTCTTGACTTACTTGAGAAGTGATAGGTGGAGAGTAATGACATGTAAAAACACAGGAACAATTAAATATAAAGACAGTGCCAGTCAGGCCTCGTTTGGCCTCACACCTTTAATATTCAAAGATGTGTTTTATATACATAAAATAATCTGCATCGAGCATTCAATTGCGTCTGCTATGGCTTTACACCAACATTTAAGTAACCTGTTTAAACTGTCATATTTGAAAATGACAACTATCTCTTAAAATCCCAAAGCTATGAATATGCACATTTTTTTCCAACAAACGTTAGCTACTAAATACAACTACTACTTAACCAACTACTAAGAGCATAATCAAATGTGAGAATTAAACAGACTATGGTAAGCCAACTCACAATAAAGTGTACAATGATACTCCTGCATATGGACATCAGAGCAGAAAGTGCCCACAACAGAAGAAGGTACCCATATTAAATACCTGTAAATTAATACCAGTGAGGTCTGAAATGTGGGGCTGTTGCAAAAGACTCGATGAATATATCCTCATTACTCACACAAAAGTCCAGTGGTTTGTTCCCATCCCCCATTTCAAAATCAAAACATAAGTACATGTGCGCAGTCCTCTGTCACGTGCAGAAGAAAGCCCCAACAAAGCTGAATGGATACAAAAAATTGAAAATGATTGACAGCACCATTCAGCCAATCAGCATCGCCATTCTTGGTAGCAACAAGATAAATACCGGAGTTTTGTCCAATCAGAGAGCACTGGACCCCAGAGTGCGCACTGTGTTTACTTCCGTCAATATTTCCAACACGGCAGTCAGAGGACAAGAAGCAGAAGCTGAAGAGACAACAAATAAAGCAGTCGCTAAAGGTTTGTTTTGCCTTTTTGCACAAATGTTCAGCTCTGTTATATTGTAGTTGAGATTATTGATGTTCCTCCTCTCGTAAATATACGCGTTGAACCGACTGACAGCTTGTCTTCTCATCATTTTTGCGATAAACGACTTGGGCAGCGTTTGCTAATGCTGTTATTTTTTAAATACTCAAATTAAATGCGTGTTTTTCGTTGTCAGGTGTGTTTTTTAAGCAATTTGGCTTAATATGCTATTTTGCATACCAGTGTTTACCCTTATTATCGTGATAACATACTAAATATAGACTGTGTAGCGTTTATAAATCCAATGGCACTATTGTTGGTAGTTGTTGTCAAGCTTCATATAAACCATAACAGGTAGTGGTAGACTGCAGAGTGATTATTTTTGCACGAATGACAGGCCATAATAATAAGATTCTTTATTCAGCCACGGAAATATATGGTTCCAAGGGGCTCTTTTCTTTTCTTCTCTTCCCAGGGATTGTGTCCATAGAGCTTTCTTCACACAGAAAATGTTGCTAAACTAATTTGAACAAAAAACACATTTTGCATATAATTTAAATATGGGAATTGAATGTGTGCAACATAAATATAATTGAACCCATAGAAATCAGAAAATAACAAAATATATGTTATGCAGTGACAATATTTCTCTATTTGGTACTAAGTTTCTTTTTTCTTTGCTACCATAGACCTAGAGCATTAAGATACATTCTGCCTCTTCTTCTGTGTTTGAAGTTGCAGCGACCATCTCTGCTCACTTCCCCCCCGGCTAAAATGCCTTTCTTGGGCAAGGACTGGAGGTCACCTGGATGGAGCTGGAAAAAGACAGATGATGGCTGGAAAAGGATTATCTTCTATGGACATGAGTTGGAAGATAACAACAAAGAAATAGACTTGAAAGCGTAAGGTTCATTTTATATTCACATTTATTTGTGTTTGTATCATTACTCGCTCACCTTAGTCATCTATCTGCCCTTAATGGCATTGTCATACCTCAATGGTGATGGAGTCAGTATTCTATCAGGTTACATAAACATTTTACTGACTGCGTATATGATTTGAAGATAAAATTAGATCCTCAGTAAACAAATGCAACTTAATTTAAGTATAAAACTATTTTTTTCTCTGAAGTCCTCAGCACCCGGATGCTTTCAATGCAGTGCCGAGAACGTAGTATATCCTAAGTCTGGAAGACATGGATATACACATGGACATGGATTATTTACTTTTAGAGGTGTCATATCTTGATGATAGGACCATAATGAGTCAAATGTGCTGCCCTTCAAAGTAATGAGTCGGAGTAAAATGTAATTGAAAACTATTAAATTAGTGAGTTTTGTCAGATTGTATTAGCAGTAGAACACAGTTCTTTGGATACCAATTTGATTACAGAATGTAATATGTAATATATGTTAACATTATGATTTTAACCATGAAAGTAGGTAAAAAGTTTACAATTATTTCATTCTGATGACACAAAATATGCATAAGGAGCCAGAGAGTGCAACACTTTTCCTGACTTTCAAGTTTACTTCCACTGATGAGCACCTTATCATAACCCATGGTGCGGATTACTTCTTGAGTCGTTTTTTTTTTTAATTGATTTTAACCAAATCGTCCAGCCCTCTGCTTTTATAGTAATATGTCGCAGAGCCTCACATTTAGCTTTATTGAATGACACTAAGGACAACTGTACTGTAAAAAGAACTGAGCGGTATTCAGAGCACAGCATGTAATCAGATATAATCAAATAAAGTATTTACTATTTATGTTAAATATCATTGTGCCCTCAAAAATGCAAATATTCGAGTCGCATTAGAACATGAAAAACAGCTGAAAAGCAATTTTTTTTCCCCCTCGGGGTCTGTATATTGGATTTCTTTCTTAGCCCATAAGAATTGGAGTTTACTCAGAATCGAGTTTATCAGACATCCATCTCTTGTTTTAAATGTGTGTCTAACTACTGATTAGAGCTGCCATGGGTCACTGTAATCGTTGACTTAGTTGTCAAAACTGTTACAGGGAAAAGGGAAGAGTGGTATGGTGTCAGTATAAATACAGTGGTGAGTGTGGATTGATAAGGTCACGTCTACTTGGTGCCAGAAAGAAAAATGATTGAGCCAATTCTTATTAGGGCTATAGTGGAGAAACTTTGATGAAATTTGTATCTCACAATTGCAGCCTGTTATTGCCAAAGGGGCGTAATGGCAACACACAATCAAGGGCAGGGCTGGGTTTGGACTCAAGAGGCTAATTTTACAAGAACAACTTGTCAGTGTATCCTGCTAAAGAGAAGATAAATATACAAAAAAGTGGAGTAAAAACAGCACAGAGGAAATGTTTTTGAGTTGACGTGTGACATGATTTTTTACCTCATGTGAATCAGAGTCTGAAGTTTTGAGGTTGGGTGTTCGTGTGTGTACTGATTTCACTTTCTTATCGAACTATCCCCTCAAAGCACACACACACATTCTTGAAGTCAATTAGCACACATATCAATCAACTTGTCCAACCTTCATATTATATATATAACCTGTTGTTATACAGTGACACTGACTAAACCTGCAAATGTCATTATTGGTGGTAATTGTTAATGTTTTGGCTTCATGATTGACTTTATATTGCGAGATAATATTTCAAAACAATATATAAAGTGAAATTGTGGTTGCGGGAAAGTATCTGGAAACACAATCGAGCCTACTGTAATGTTTGCCTTCTTAATTTAATTTTAATTTCGAAAAGGATTATTTGTATATCAATTATTCACCTGTGTTGCCTTAAATTCTTGAAGAAAATCTAGTATTTTTGGATTTTCTTGCCTTCATTGGGAACGAATACTACGAAAGTACATGTATTTTGAAGTACTAACAAGTAAAATTGTAGAAGTTAAAGAAGTAAAAGAACTAACAATCAAATAAAAGGCACAAGTTTAAGTCACAAGTTTGTTGTTTAGGTAGGTGTGTTTCTATCTGTGAGTGTGTGTGTGAGAGTAATGATGGGGTTGTTTTACCTTAGTTTGAATTTGCCGTATTTAGCAGGTTTAGCAATATAATCTATCCAGTACACAAGCAAGTAAACAGCGAGCAGGATGTTGCTGTCCTGCTGGTGCTGAGGGGGTTAACAGTGGGTGATATCTCCCTCAAGTCAGTGTTGCCTCTTCTATGGATCAATCATTTACAGTACCTCACAGTGCCACGTTAGCTTGTCAGCAGTCTTTTCACTAAACAGACACACCATCAGACAATAGATAATGACATCATCCGTCCACATTGGCCGCTCTCCAAATGCAGCCTCGCTCAAAAGGCCAGTGACATCATGCAGCAGAGGTGCAGACACACATAAGAAAGAAAGGCAACATGATAGCCACTGGCATGGTACGCTGTGTACCAGAAGTAATTCATCATAATGTATCTCTTCATGTCAACAAACCTCTATCACCTAGTGTCATTATCATGTGCAAAATTACACGTTATTACTTTTTTAATATCATTATCAATACTACTTTCAATACCATACGCAATACTACTTTTCTATTTTACTTCTTTTATCTTTATTCTTTAAGACACTGGTGTTAGTATTACTTCTTATTCACTTAATATTTGTACTCTTTCATTTCATTCTTATGTTCCTATGTGTCTGATCAGGCACAATCATTTAATTGAAGAATTCATACGTTTAATTAATACATTTGTTTCTTATCTCTCGTCTTTAACACTCAAGAAAATGTGTAGGCTAGTATTTGGCTCTTACTTTTCTATCAATCTCCGTGACAGATTATTTTATCTGACAAGGTAGGAAATGCCTTGATTGTTAAGTCATCTTGCATGAAATAAATGTAACTTGAATGCCTCACTCTTAAAGTGAGTAAGCGAAGTATAACAGCTTAATTTCAGCCACATATTTGTTTTCTTCCCTGTTGACTTCCTACATAGCCCTCAGCCTTTTTAGCTATGTATTTCAGGATATAGTTTAAATATCCACAAATCCCTCTGAACATTCCTGCTGCTGTGTAATGTCTTGGCTCTGTGGAGGCCGATGCTCTGCGTGCCACCTGTGTTAAAAAAATCAGGCTATTATTGCATTCCTCACTTGTAATGCACTGTGGCATTGCTGTGCTTGCATGTGTGTTTGTGTGTAGGCATGTGGAATTGGATAAATGGATAGAGACGAAAGGATTACTGTGGAGCCCATTCACCCCGATCTGTTGTCTTCACAGTCGGTCAATCAAAGCCTTGCCTTCTCTTATGCCGGAGGGAAAAATGTATTAGTTTTTAAATCCAAAAGCATGTGTATTGAAATCGCCCAGTTTGTGAGTCATCATTTTTGGTAAGAGAACATAACCCTTGAATTCTCACTATAACAAAAACCCTTTAATCTGGGGGCTTTTGTGGGGCCCAAATCATCCCAGTTTAGAATTTGTAAATAATAAAACAACAATTAATAACATGTTAAAGTTATGATTTTCCAGTATAGTAAGCTGACATGTATGTTTTGCTGCCCGAGTTAGAAGTGTTGCCAGTTGGGTGCTGAACTTCAGCCAATGGATTATTAATGCCTGGAGAGTCAATCACCAGTCAGTGAACCCTTTGATCTGTCAAAGGTCATTACAGAATGTCTATTAACAGAGGAATAGATCTTAGTACAGCTTTATTACATTTAATTTACCCGTATAAGAAGACAATCTTGCAAGTTTTCAGAAATATAGCACTCTGAACAGAGATATAGTTTGTTTAAGACCTCGGGAAACACCTATAGTACAGCGGATAAGCTCTCATATTATAACAATTGTGGATTTTATGAGAAAAGCATGACATTTCTAACATAGTTAGAGCATACCATAAGGTTTATTTTCAGATGTGGAGGGAAGTCAGATTTGACCCGTGAGGACCGTGAGAGGTCAAATCCAAGATGGCCACCAGTCTCTCGGGTCAAATGTTCAAACGCGCTTAATTTCAATATGGTCTAGCTGCGGCCGCGGCAAGTACACGACACTACACGACACGCCCCCTACACGACACGCCCACCTGACACGACACTACGGTGGCTGAGAGACATTAGTGATCTCCAGTGTGCTGGGCAGTGTGGCGGCGGAGGGAGCCGAGGGCACCACCGGAGGAGAGGCGAGCGATGACAGCAGCATCACCGTGGTGCAGCTCCCCGCACAGACTGAGGGGACTTGTTACACGGAGCCCATCACCGGGGAAGCCTGCGGCGGGAGAAGGCGGTCTGCTCGGCCTGCCCTTGGCTCTGGGGTCCCTCCTTAAAAAAAGTCTCATCATACTTAATCCTAGACAGTAGCACATGGTATATATTGTACGACTTTGTCATTTTTGTAATGTTGATATGTATTCGCTCATAGCCTACTGTGCCTTTCACGCAGACAATACAAGTGAATTTTGAAATGACAAATAGGTTTATGTTTCAAGTTTATTTGCATTAAAAACGTGTTTTTAAACCCTTCTGTTCAAATTTGATATTTTGTTTCTTAAAAGATTAAATCTTTAAAAACATGCTGTTTGCCATTTTTAAAGTTTGATGGAAGAAATTAAAATATAGGTCACTGACGTGGAGCTTTAGGCCTGCAATGCTTTAAAAAAAAATGTTGGTGTTGTTTCAGTTTTGAGTGAATATGGATGTTAAATTCACAAATGAGTATGAATAATCTTAAACAAGAACAGGATCTTGAGCCATGATGTTTTTAAAGTACAGAAACATTCAGAATGCATGACGATTCCTTCAAAGGTTTTGTAATAGACCCCTAGTACTTTTAATTTATAAAGTAATAATAACACATGTGAATGATTGAGCTCATTAGTGGCCTGACTGGCCCTCCTAATTTGGTCCTTAATGACCCCATGATGTGATTATGTATATCTTAAAACCTTTAACAACTATATTTAGATGTTCACAAATATCTACATTTATTTATAAATACATGTGTAGCAGTTAGACAAACATAATTAATAGATTATCTCATTAATACCTATTTTATATATTAAAAAAAGTTTACTAAACCACCGTTTGTTGACAAAATGATTTGGGTTGAAAGTTATACTGTTGTGTCTCAAACGGATAGACTAGGTTATTAATTTATTTGCCTAATAGTTGCTTAAAATGCTACAATAACATTTGCAATTCATTTTTAATCTGCCATGTACGGTAATGTCTCTCAGCCACCGTAGTGTCGTGTCAGGTGGGCGTGTCGTGTAGGGGGCGTGTCGTGTAGTGTCTTGTACTTGCCGCGGCCGCAGCTGGACCCTTCTCCTTAATTTTGGAACCAAACATTGTAGAAAAACATTTAAGGTGTCATATCCAACTAAATTAGGGATGCCCAATCATTTGGTGATACTTTGAGATCGCCAGAATTCAAGAAAATGAATTTAGTTGAAGATAAAGGTAGAAATTGACCAAAAATAAGGTGTGTGTGTGTGTGTGTGTGTGTGTGTGTGTGTGTGTGTGTGTGTGTGTGTGTGTGTGTGTGTGTGTGTGGTGTGTGTGGTGTGTGTGTGTGTGTGTGTGTGATGTGTGTGTGTGTGTGTGTGTGTGTGTGTGTGTGTGTGTGTGTGTGTGTGTGTGTGTGTGTGTGTGTGTGTGTGTGGTGTGTGTGTGTGTGTGTGTGTGTGATGCCCAATCATTTGATGATACTTTTGAGATCGCCAGAATTCAAGAAAATGCATTTAGGTGAAGATAAAGGTAGAAATTGACCAAAAATAAGCTGTCAATCAGTTGAAATTTGCAAAATGTGTGTGTGGTATATTCCAGTGGATTTATGGTCACCCAGCGCTAGCATTACTACAGAGACTGGAGGTATATGGCTTTACTTGGCACAGTCTGCATGCTGATGAAAACATTTGTTTTTGTCTTCAAATACATACTAACATGATTGTGACGAGCATCATATTTGTTCCCCGCCCAACTCTCTAAGTCTAAGTGCTTGAACTCCGTGACAGGAGGATGAAGTATGTATAAATGGATGGAACTATCAACAAAACAGCGTTTTATTCCCCAATGTCATATTTAATAGAAAAATAATAATAATAATGTAAACCAAAGAGGGAGATGGAAAACAGTTCCATGTAGAGCACAAACAGCTCTCTTAACCCTCGCTGTTAACAAAGGGCTGCACTCAACTATAAGGTTCACCGCTGTCCCTTTCCACTTATAGAGGGTTGGGGTTCGATTCCCTGCCTGTCCACCTATAAAGCCAAGGTAGCGCAGCTTTTTTTCTGTTCTTTAGTGGCTCACATGGACATTTAGAGGTCATGCAAAGAAAGGGTTATGTATGTTGTGTGTGTGACAGAGAGTGCAGAGAGAACATTGGCAAAGGGGATTTGTTTGTCCTAGCATGGCTGTACAATTACAAATACAAAGGTTTACCCATTTAGACTCCATGGCATGGAGAAAAAAACTCATTTTAAATGACTCTAAGGATATAACAAGTTTTAGAAAATTGATGGATTTTTGCCCACATGCGGTAAACATCTTAATTGAATGTTCTATGTGCAACATGAGGACAATAACCACAAGTGTACTCACAGTACCTTTTTTCTCTGGCACTGAAGTTGCAAGGTTTCAGCATGTTGTCCCTCTCTAAACCTTTCTGTTCCCCATTCTTCTTTCTCCAATAAGTGGTGCATCATTATTTTTCTATTAAATATGACATTGGGGAATAAAACGCTGTTGTTTTGTTGATAGTTCCATCCATTTATACATACTTCATCCTCCTGTCACGGAGTTCAAGCACTTAGAGAGTTGGGCGGGGACCAAATATTATGCTCGTCACAATCATGTAAGTATGTATTTGAAGACAAAAACAAATGTTTGCTTCAGCATGCAGACTGTGCCAAGTAAAGCCATATTCCTCCAGTCTCTGTATTAATGCTAGCGCTGGGTGACCACACACACACACACACACACACACACACACACACACACACCAAATTTCAACTGATTGACAGCTTATTTTTGGTCAATTTCTACCTTTATCTTCACCTAAATGCATTTTCTTGAATTCTGGCAATCTCAAAAGTATCATCAAATGATTGGGTATCCCTAATTTAGTTGGATATGACACCTTAAATGTTTTTCTACAATGTTTGGTTCCAAAATTAAACGTGTTTGAACATTTGACCCGAGAGACTGGCGGCCATCTTGGATTTGACCTCTCACGGTCCTCACAGGTCAAATCTGACTTCCCTCCACATCTGAAAATAAACCTTATGGTATGCACTAACTATGTTAGAAATGTCATGCTTTTCTCATAAAATGCACAATTGTTGTGCTTATCCGCTGTACTACTAAAGACTCTGCTTTAGAAATGTGTTTGCATTACCAAAGGCATAGCGAGCAAATAAACTACAAACACATGTGATTTAATAGATCATATGATGATGTAGGACATCCAGATATCTATTTTTTTAACATTTGAGAACAAAGGTTGATTGTAAATGAACACTTAAAATGACCTGACAGGTTCATTTTAATTCAATGAAAACAGCAAGTAATTAGGACAAAACCTCACAAATACACACCTATGTATAGTCTGTATCCAGTATAGTAACATGCTCTCACATGTTACATGCTTACATTTGAGTTTCTGTTAGAACTGAGCCACTTCATGTCTCCCATGTCAATTTAAGTTAAATTGAGGTCAGCTGCCAAAATGTTAAGATCCCCGGGCGCCGTACATAATGGCAGCCCACTGCTCCTAACACTAGGATGGGTCAAATGCAGAGAAACCGTTTCGTTACATAGTACCTGTACTACGTAATGACAATAAGTTCAATCTTCAATCTTCTTGCTCAAGGGCACCTCGGCAGTGGCCTTGGAGGTGAACTGGCACCTCTCCAGCTACCAGCTCACCCCATTTTTATTTATTTTTGGTCCGATCGGGATGTGAACCAGCAGACTGAGCCACTGCCGCCCTCAAAAAAAAGATCAATATATAGAAACTCTGTCCTGACCTGACCCGCCCCAGATTTACCGTCTTAAAGCCCAACCAGGAGTGTCGTCCAAGAGCATCGTAGTTATGTTTCTCTTTTTTTATGGTTAATACTTTCTTTACTCACCCCTCTAAATCTTAAAACACAGAAAACCCATCCACCCACACAACAACACGTACTCCTTAATCTTGGGTTTTTTCATGTTTCAATTGTTTATTTTCTTGCTGGTCACTTGTATTGTATTGTACTATATCAAAAAGAGATGGATTATTATTTCAAACTTGTATATGTCCTGGCCCTTTTCACCACAAAATACTGCAGCTCTTGAACTGCGTACGTTATACATACAGTATAATGCCATGGCAGTGACATTCAGGACCTCAGGAAAGAGTCACTTGCTCCAGGCTTATCTTATTGTTCTCGTTGGTTTTGTACATTGTATTACAGTTGCACTGGTCACTCTCTAATGCAAATTCTTCCCATGCCCTCTGTGTCCAACAGGCTCTGCAGTGACAACAAAGAGAATGTGTTTGTTGGGGAAGTGTGTGAGCTCGCCTCCGCAAAGAGGAAAAAGGACCTCTACAACAATAACACCAAATCTCAGTGTGAGTTTCAGCAACACAGAATCACTCTTTCATGTGTTTTTAAAAATAATATAAAACAATCAGGGAAGCTATAATTTCACAATTTTAAAGGTGCTTGTACTCTACTGGAGGACTTCTAGTTTGTGGTGTTTCACTTATACTACCCTATTTTTAACATATTTAATTCAATTATGCTTTGCAGGTTAAGATCTTTACATACAAAGGATATGATGGTCCCATCAAATCTGAAGCATTGTAGTCATAATTGTCAATAAACCCTTCTGTAAGATCATTAGGACTGAAACATTGCTTTTTGGTGGGAAACACTTAATGTAACTAAAACTTGTTTGATTACAAGAAAATGATGACTTTAAACGACATCTGACCTGAAGAACTTCCTGACTTCTGCTTAAACAGGTTTTTAACTTGCAATGAGGTAGAAAGTTACAAAGACAACAAAAGGTGACTTTATTGCCTTTGCTTCCCCTAAAGGTGATTCTTAGACTGGAGCCACACGAGAACGGTAATGCAAACAAACTGAAATCGTTATCAAAAAAGTATTCCGTCCACACGCAATAGGCACCAGAAACGTGTCCTTCCACACGAGACCGCTCGACCCGCTGGAGACGCTGTAGTACATATGCCTGGCCTGTAAGTGGCGCTGTACTTCCGCCACAAAATAGACCAAAAGCAGCGAAGAAGACTTCCGAGCATGGTCTCCATGGTTGCCCTTCTGTTAATTCTCCGCAATGGATTTAGCAGCAGAGGTGGGGAGAGGCAGGGCTCTTTTTCTCCGTCAGCAGCAGCTGATCTCTGATCTCTCTCTCCTGTCCGATTAGACTTCACTCGCGTTTATGTCCATATCGATCAGATCTAGCTAGTTCTAGCTAATGATATGACTGCCTGAGTGTCAAAGGACACCTAAACAATAAGCGACATTTTGACTGGAGAATTTTTGATTTCGGCTAACGGAAACTCTGCCGTGCGGGGGGGGGGTCTACTGGAGGCCCCTGCTGGGTGCACTGTCCTGCGAGAGACCGGGACCTGGCTCGAAACACTCGGAAAACTGTTGTTGTTGTTGACGAAACACATCAGCAATGACGCGGGTGACACGGGGGTGAGCAGGAGAGGTGGGGAGAGGCGGGGCCATTGCGTCATCGTTATCAGAAAATGATTGTATAGGGCGTAGACACGGAGCCGTTTGGCCCCCCAGAGCGTTTCGTCCGCAGATCTACCCACCTTGGGACCCGTTATCGTTATCTGCGTTTCCCTGTCGGCCTCGTGTGGCCGAACCGTCTATAAGGTAGAGAACTGTAGCGGATACAACCGTTACCGTTCTCGTGTGGCTCCAGCCTTAGTCTTATTACTGTGAAGTGCTGCCTTTAGGTGACAGAGCCATTTAAACCGGTATTTGCCTGGTATGCAGGTTAACAGCTGTCCACTTTAGCTGAGGGCTGCAAATACAACCTCAGTTCACTCTGTTCAGCTCAGCTTCAAACAAGTCAGTCTGGTCAAATACCATTTCAGGTTGTTTGCTTTGTCCTTTCCCCCCCTTTGAAGAATTAGGCCACTGTTTGCACTCTCCTCCCCCAGTTTTTGACATGTTTATGTTTATTGTGGTTTCAATGGCTGTGGTCAGTTAAAAGGTTTAACATTGATTGCAGCCCTGTGTCATTTTAATCATAAAGAACTGTAGAAGTTTGAATACGTTTTAATAGCGTTAAAATGTCTTCAGATCCTTATATATAAAAATAAATTCTGCGATTTTAACGCCCAAAGCACAAACAGAGGATTTACAAAATAGTATCATAACAACATTAACAGTAACATCTATAATAACAACTATAACATCTATTGTAATTGTTAGGGAATCATTTGCTTAGGTATTCAACCTTCAACACAGTTCATCATTTTCTCCTCTCACTGTCTCTTTTCCCACGGCATAGGTCTACGGCCTTGGGTATTGCTGCTATCTCTCTTAAGGAGGAGCAGCTTGGGCGCATTGTTGTTGCCAGTCTATGACAGAGCATGAGGTAGTTTACTGTTCAGGGACGAAGGTTTCCTGGCGCACATTCTTTTCTATGGACGAGAACTCTAGTTAGATTCAGGGTCCATAATTGTTTAGTCCCTCTGATAAAGAATGTTGATTATTACACTCGAGTTAAAACCTCGAGCTGCAGAGGAGTTTTTCAGAATTGGTTTGGCAACCGCTGTGTCAACTCGTGACACACCACCTGTCTTGTCAATTCTCCGGCCGAAGCTCCAGATAAACCATCAGTGTTTGCCATCAAAGCTCCAGCTCTCCTCGCGTCTCTCTGAGTCCTGACTCAAATTGCTTCAGAAGTTTCCCCCACAGTAATATTATACCACATGTGGGGAGGTTATGGTGTCCATTGTTTGTTTTTTGAAAGGTTTTGAGTCAATAAGATGACAGAATGTAAGATTTGCTATAATGGTGTTTTATGGTGCAGTATTTACTGCAAAGCTATTGGATTGGATTGCATTCCATTTCACAGGGAGTTATAATACTATGTCCACCTCAAATAAAAGTATGTACATTTACACCAAAACAATTAATACTGTTTTGAAAGGATCAATAATGTGTTTGTTCTTTCCCGTTGTCCAGTTGTTTTCACAGATAAATGGATATATGTGCAGAAAGGCAGCACGAAAGAGGTGAATGCTGCAGCTGTTACCAGAACGATTCCCATGAAGCCGTATTATTTTCAAATAAACTAATATTTAATAAAAAAGAAACATTTGTGTTTTTAATGTTCAACACACAGCGACATGGATACTGCACGCTTGGTGAAGCCCTCAACCGTCTAGACTTTTCCAGTGCCATTCAGGACTTAAGTAGATTCAACTATGTTGCAAAAGTGAGTAATGAAGACACGTGTTGATTTAAGAATCCTCTTGAAATTGTTGTTCCGTTGTTTGTTCTGGTGTGACATAAACAAACGACTCCTTCACTAAATGTCTTACTCTGTTTTTCTCCTATAGCTTTTCCAGCTTATAGCCAGGTCTCAGCTGCGCAATTTGAGTGGAGCTGCTCAGAAAAACTATTTTAATATACTGGAGAAGATTGTACGAAAGGGTAAGGAGATTTCAGGAATGTTTGTTGCCCACTAGCCTCTAATTTAAACTCTTGTTGCGGTTGTAAAAGTAACGACTACTGTTTATTGACCTTATTATTATTGCACTGAATGCCTAACCCCAAAACCAATTGAAACAGTGTGTGAAATGCATATGGGAGTCTAAAATACAGCAGTGTTAATTGAAAACTGTGGTTCTTTTAAAAGACATGTTTGTTTTAGGGTATTTTTAATCTTAGGATACAAAAACAAGGTATTTTGTGTCGATTTTCTGAAGGATTTTTTCTGTTTGTTTTTCTACTAGTTCTAGACGACCACTACAACCCGCGCCTTGTGAAGGATTTGCTGCAGGACCTGAGCTCGACACTGCACAGTCTGGCCATTCATGTCGGCAGGTGTGTCCTCGTGGGAAACGTCAACATCTGGTTGTGCAGACTAAAGACCATTCACGAATGGAAGCAGCAGCTCAACAACCTGCACATCCCTAAGGTAGAAGGTCACTGGTGTTTGTGTGTGTGTGTGTGTGGACGTGCACAGGTATGCATGTGTGAATTCCATTGTGTGTAGGAAATCTAAACACCTCAACACGCCTCTTAGTGAAGTAGGTTTGCATCCTTTATATTTGTATGAATGGCATAATTCTAGTGGATTGCTGTACAATCCAGCTTTGAATTTGAATGTGTCATTGTTATTTGTCTCCCCAGCAAATTTGCAATGGTGTGTCATTCAACGAATTGCCGCTACACACGCAAAACGACATCCTCTGCAAGTTATCTGATGCCTGTGACATCATTAACCTGGGACAGGCCACGCCTACTCTGCAGAGCCTCAGTGAGAGCAGCATCCTGTGGAAGAAACTCTGCCACTTCCACTTCTCAGACAAACAGGTGAGAGAAAAACATATTTAGTTTAATCAGCAATGCACAAGGAGAAATTAAGGCTAAATGTGGGATTTTAAAAATTATTTTAAAGGGGATAGGCTATAAACTTACAATAATAATTTATGGTCAAGCATCCAAAGATATGGCTGCCAAATAGTTCACCCTTTGACCACTAGAGGGCAGAATAGCCAAAGTTTTCTCACATTGATCTGTCTCACTCTCATTCCCTCATAAACGCACACACAAAAACACACATCATATATAACACATACTCAGGGTTGGTCTGGTTGAGAAATTGTCCGAAATAATATGTGATTTCACTTGTCCCATTTATAATAACATCACTGTCTATTGTGTTTTAATTTTTTTTTTGTGTGTTTCCTTCCACTCACATGCAGTTCTGTAAGAATTTGGTCCTATCCAAAAGTGATCATGTGGACTGGAAGCTGATGTATTTCACCTTGAGGAAACATTATCCAATGAGGGAGCAGTACGGCGACACCCTGCACTTCTGCAAACACTGTAGCATCCTCTTCTGGCAGGTAAACCAGAAGATAACACACACACTTAAAACCAAATGTGCGGCATATAGGAAACACCATATGACTAGCTAAAACTCTTTAAATAAATTACAAGCTTTACATACGTAGGAGGGAAACTTTAAAACTAGGTAACAATAAGATCAATCCAAATTTAACTGATTAGTTTAGCTTTTGCCTTTCAGTGTTTGAACAGTAAATGAAGGCAAAACCGAGACATTTATCACCTCTTAAATTATACATGTTTTTTTTCACATTTTTTTACACATTTACCCATATTACAGTTCAAATTTGACTTCCTGTAAAAAGAAAAAAAGAAGATGTTGCCTTTTTACTTTGAGTAGTTAGAGATCAGACCAGTGTAAAAAATGTTTTCCCAGGCAGCCATTAGCTCACCTTTGAAATCCGACTCTATTGAAAAGTCACAAGTGGACAAAAAAATTATCCCATTTCAAAACAATATTCTCGATATTCAACAGGGATTAATGATTCACATATATAAGTGAATACATTATCACTGATAAGATAAGATAAAGTTGAGTGTCGCGTGGGAAAATGTGTCTTGGGCTTCAAGCCTCTGCATTACACAACATTATTGCTTTTTAATGTTACAATACAATAAATATGTAATACAAAATATACAAAGCATGTATATTATACATGTATACACTCATGCATAAACATGCATAAATGTACATGTTAAGTAGTTATTTAACATAAAAGATAATGGTGATGATGATGGTTATCCTTGTTGTCCATAAATGTAATTAAAATCTCATGTGCTAATGCATACTGTACTTAACTGTCAGTGGTAAAAAATAAATTAAAAAAACACTCACTGACACATTTGATAAGACTTGTAACCATGTGTAAAACAGAGTTTGAGTTATTAATCTGACTAATGGTACCTGGATTAAAAATGCAGCATTTCCTTAAATATCTCCCCCCCCCCCCCCCCCCCCCCCCTACTTGTGATTATCTACCACACACAGTCTTGTTTTCCTCCCTGGCTGGGTCCCTGTACTGTTTAACCTCTTCCCTCTCCTTGCTTGTCTCCTTCCTTCCTGGCTCCCCTTCTCCCTGACTCTTAAAGGATCGCCACCTGACTTTGTTATTAAAGGTACTTTTCTTCCCATCACGCCTGTCTGTTCTGCCAGCTGCTGGTTTGTCTCCGATCTGATGATAACTTATCTTTTTTCCGTGTGTTTAGCTTTTGTCTTGTACTGTTCTCAGTTTACCTCGATGTCATCACATTTTGCTCGAGTTGTGTTTAGCAAACAGTGCCGCTCTTTCCGCTGACACACACATTCTTGAAGTTCATAAATTCATCTGAATGTTGAGTTAGCGTGTCTGAAAGTAAACTGTCAGTTGTCATTTAGTTTAACACAGATATTTATCTATGTGCATGCATACCAATGTCCAGGATTAGACCACACCAGTAAATGAGTAAATCCATCACTAAATATGTGTAGAAGTCCTTCCATGTTCTTGGTATGTGCTGGTTGCTGTTTCTGCTGGTTCTGTCTCTCTTCTCTCTAACATGTTGTTGTCTGTCTTTTAGGACTGTGGCCATCCGTGCACAGCCATCGATCCGGACAGCTGCCTCATGCCCATTTCTCCGCAGCACTTTATCGAACTCTTCCAGTTCTAAACCCTCCATGTTTATCTTCAAGCGAAGCGTCCGTTTACTCTCTCCAAAACCGAGTGTGCACGAGACTCTTTTGTCATTTACCGAAATACAAAGGGCTTAAACTGAAAGAGATTACTTGTTTATGTCTTAATTTCTTTACGCACAAGGGTTTCCACTAGAAAAAGGAAATATTAAATGTGTAATATTGGTGAAATATTCCTCCTGCTGCACAAATATTTTGTCTTCTTGGCTAAAAGAATCTGTTCTTCATCGAGGAAAGACAAAATAAAATGTCAATGTAAGGTGAAAATGTGAAAGATTTATATGTAAAAGGAGTTGCAGCATGTTTATGGTAGGTAAGTGGTGATGTTTAAGAGTTTTTTTAAGTTGTCAACATTTACATTGAGGCAGACTAAGATGACTCGTGTTCATTGTTCGTTTAATGTGGTTAAACTAAGCTGCTTTTTACTCTGTACTGTTTTGGTGGTATTGTTCTGCAATAACTGAACGCATGTCTGTTTACATACTGTATGTTGTCCTCAGTGAATTCTTGTTGTGCTCTTTATACATTGAAGGAAAAATTATGTAAAACTCCATTAGCTAGACATGTTTTTACTGCGTACTTTTGCCAGAGAAAATGTTAAACATTATTTATGAAAGAAAACATTTTTTAACTTTCTTCCAACTTTTGTAATCATTATTTAACGTCTCAATACTTACTTGGGACAGGATTGAACTAGCTATAAATAATTAAATATTTCTAAAAACATGTTTCTGTTCATTTTATTATAAAAGGGGCGGGGAATCATTTTTTACTATCTTCATTTCGTTTTAACTGTAGATTCCACTCCATGGATATGAATGTTTTGCTACCTTAAAAAGCAATGAAAATAGTTTGCAATATTTCATGCTTAATAGTCTTTCTTTAATACTCATTCATTTTCTGTAAAGATGTAACAAAAGTATGTTTTTGTTTTCTGTGCAACTGGCTTTAAATGCTATGTTTTGGCCACTGTATCAGTAAAACCAGCTGTTCAATCAAGGGTTACATTTACTCCAGACTTTAATTTGTTGGATAAATTAGAGCCAGACACTATTCTGATGAGAAAGTGTGACCCAGTTGTAATGACTAAATACAGGATACAGGCATCTGTGGACCTGTATCTGTGAACAGTTTTGGCTGCATCAAAGTAGACTTCAGTATCAAACACATTCAGCAGACAGATTGAAACAAAGAGGAAAGGAAAAAAAAAGCATAGACCAGTGGCGTGACCTCACCTAAAAAGAAATCATAATAAAAATGAAGACATTGTCTCTGTCCTATCAAATATACATATGAAACAGCATTAGAGAACTCACTAGGTTTTTATAATGTTAACATTGCACACACATACAAGCTTTTGGTTGCCAGGGATTGTAAATGGAAACCAGTTAGTGTCTCACTGGCTGATGCAGCACAAGTGCATGCTGGGTCGATCCACCTGCACATGCATAAACATTGTGATGAGTTCAGCAGCTTTGTGCTCATGGTTCAGTTCAAATGTACAGCAAACACATGATGTCATTCTATTGATACAAGGCACTTTCCAGGTACATGGACTCACTGCTTTTCTAAAGAAACCAGCATACACAAAGTTTGGCTTTAATCTGGTCATCGTTACACATTTCTATAAATAATATTCAGCATTGGATTTAAACATGACACTGGGATTGTCTTTGAGTTATTCCCCCTAGACGATATACAAATATAACAGAACTTCAAATGTCCTTTTCCACGCCAACTTTGGTTTACTACAATTGTATGTGTGCATGTCTCTTAAAGGTGGGGTAGGTAAGTTTGAGAAACCGGCTCGAGATACACTTTTTGTTATATTCCATGGAATGCTCTTAACATCCCGATAGCAATGAATATCTTAAGTGCTTTGACAAAAAATCCATAAAATAATGTCATCTGTGGAAGCCGTAGTAGCCTGTAAAAAGCACAACCAATCATTTTAGCCGGCCCGGCTAAAATAACTGGATGGCCTACCTGCCTGTCAGCCTTCCATCTGTGCACAAATGTATCTCGTGCCCTCATTGGTCACGTGCGCGTTCGTGTGTGTTGGAGGAGGGGCTCTGTAAGGAAGTGGCAGATTTTCTCCGGTTGTGTATTTTCAAATTCTAGCGATCTCGAGCCGGTTTCTCAAACTTACCTACCCTACCTTTAATAAACTTTCAAACACACATTCACACCAATATTCCAGATTCAAAGTATTTTATACACTGTTTTATGATTGCACAGATTTTAAGCCCATATTTATATTTATATTTAGGCTCAAGACTTAAATTGTTCACAAAGATGCTGTAACTGCAAAGACAGAAAGGAAGTGAAAAAGTCTTCAGTAGCAGGTTAGCATATTCTTCATTAATTCTCTACCTATGTCAGCCACAATAATCATACAAAAATCACTCTCCTCAATTTTTGGAGATATAAAATATGTAAATGCAAGGCCAGTGGATATCACAGTTAAATGGTCCAGTAGTTTAAGGCTTTAATTTGTTGTATTTTATGTCAGTAATTAAAAAGTGACCTATTTTGTCTTCAAGAAAGTCAAAGCTTAAAAAATAAGCAAACTTCATGTGTTGTGTTCATGGCTATACAACAACATCTCAATAGCAGTTGACATCGGTTTCGTCCAGAACTAGATTACAGAGACAAGCAAGAATTTGGTTCAGGTTTGATGATGAGAAGGGAGGGGTATAAAATATAATGTGGCTCCTATTTAAACCCCTCCCAAGCACTTTCTGACACAATCCCTCTGCTCATCCTGCTGATGCCGGCCAGCTTGACTTTGGCGCGGTCTGTCCACCTGACGGCAGCTGTTGAATCCTTGGAGTCCGACAGATTAGCATAGCGGGAGGAGTCCTCCTCGAGGCCCCGGCCCGCCCAGGAGGCCAGCTCCAACGGGAGGCCCAGAGAGTCGGGGAAGGACACCGGAGAGTCCTCTTCCTGGTTCTTGTCTTCTGGAACGTCATCGGTCACAGTCTCAGTTAAGTTCTCCAGCTGAGGCGGCTCCCAACCCTCCATCTTCTCCAGTTTTTTTGTTGGGGAGATCTGCCTCATTGTCATGGTAACGCTCTCCCAGAAACAGTGGCCCTTCTCTGGCTTGTCCTTCTTTTCCTTCTCCTTCTCATCATCCTTATTTTTCTTGTGAGACCTTAAGAAAAACAAAAGAGATAGGAGCATAACGTTAGAAAGAGGATGTTGCACAACATTCGAAGCCCTGGGAGGCAAATATGAAACAAAAATAATCTGGTTTTGTCTCCTTTTTTTGTGACTCAACACCAGGTGGGAGAAAAATGTGAAACATGTGAGGATAAGTAGTTCACTTTTTTTTGTCAAGATCATTTAGGGAAAAAAAATGTGTTGATATATTTATAAAAATTGAATAGGCAATACAAAGGAATATAGTTACAACGATGTTTGATTCCTGTAAGGGTAGAGTGTTTAGGTCCTGTAAAAAATGATAACAGGGTTTAAAACTTTTAAAAGTATATGTCTACCTGCCAGAGTTATTAGTCTTTATTTACTTGTTAATCCTTTTTGATGCTTGTGATTGATTAGTCATGCCTGCGGGGGTCAGTGGAAGTAGCCTCAAAGTGAAGTTGGCAGAGAGGCATCTTTATTTATATCACCACTTTTCAGGTATGAATAAGTATTTATGCTGAATAACTATAGAATATGTGGATAAAATGTTTGGTTTGTGTTTTAAGATAATTTACAACTTGTAAAATAATATCAAAGCAACCTCAAAGGTTATCCTGGCAAAAAAAAACACAGGAGAATTTTTTTTTTAGATAAGACTTAAAATATTGATCTCCAGATAATTTTCTCACTTGAATCTCAGGGCTTCTGTTTGACCGCTTACATCTATAGTATAAATAGGACCAACTGGGTGGGGTACTACATCGTTACACTGGAGAATAGAACTTTCCCCAGCGAGCCATTATAAAGGAATTCCCGGTTGTTTGTCACATCGGCTGGTTAATTAAGGTTTTCCTCTTCATGTAGTTCTACTTCCTCAAGTAGTCTGAAAGTTAATATCTGCTGGCGAAGAAAATTATTTCTCACATTCAAACATATAACCGTATCAAATGGGTTGATTGGAGTTGATTAGTTTGATTCATACTGTATTTCCCCCTTATAGTTGAAATGTAAATGTTGTATTCTTTATTAGTTGGTGTTGCTGCTATATCACAACACACTGATGCAATTACTACATACATGTATGCATTACCTTGTGATGAATACATGTCAATACACTGTGGACACATGGGGTGACATGTTATTGTGTGTGTAAACTCACCCTCTGCGGTCGGCAAGTTGAACTCCTGTCAACAAGAAGTGCTCGTCGTCTTTGGAGGAAATCTTCTTCTCCTTCCTCTCTTTCTTGGACATGATCTTCTTCACCTTGGCCTCCTGACAGAAACCGGCAGACGAAAGAGCATTTGATTTTGAATTACAGAGCTGAAAAGATTACCCGCATCTGTTGCATGTTAACTTGTTATCTCTGCTCCCTGTTTGTGGGTGATTTACTTTCCAAAGAGGCTGAAGTCAATTTCAGTTTGATGACTATGAGTTATTTTCAAATGCAATTCATTGGCTCTGAGCTAATACATGTTTTTCTCTGTCGAATCTAAATCATCCACGCATCTTTCATCATGCAACCTTCTTATTGTTGTTGTACAAAAACCTTAATAAATACAGGGAGCTTGAATGGCATTGACTTGGCAGAAACTAACGGCACATTCCAGTGGGAGACCCTCCATTCCCTCTGAAACTCCCCCGGTCTCCCCAGTCACATCAGAATTCCTTGCTGCCCTTGCTGCTTTCCACCGAGCACAGATACCGCCCTCCTCAGCGATTATGGAAAAAGCTTTTGGCTCAGTTTCTCTCTGTGCTTGGGAAGAATTCCCAATGTCAACTGTCAAGGCAATAACATTTACTCCTACTCTTATCCGTGTCTTCGCTTTACCATAGTCAAAACATTCTCACAACTCAGAACAATATTTGATGGAAGCACCTGACCTTGGGACCTCTCAATTGCTTCTATTGTCTCTATATTATTAGCTTATTAACACACAGGATGTGACAGCAACTACAACAAGCAAACAACTAGCTGGACATGAAAGCCGTCATCTCTCAAACCAAACAGGAACACGTACAATCTGTTAGTTGCTACATGCTTCCCAAGCTCTACATTTCATCTAACACACACTCCTGAAGTTACTCCTGATCTCACTCAAGTTCTCTTTTCATATCCAAAGCTAGGTGACATTTGATGGATTTGTAAGCACTTTGTACACCATGGTATTTCATTAGGAGACAGGCACTGTTGCTGATAAACGGAAAATGTAATCCTCATCTCACCTCTCCTCAACATGAACATGCCAGAGGGCAAGAATGCAGTTTCTAGGAGTTAATTATCAAGAAAAATATGCTTAGATATTTCAACACCCGGGGTCTCTTTCTGTCTCTCTTCTCGCTCTGCTTCTTGTTTCCTGTGTGCCGTCAAGTGTAAACTGTATCAGATTTGCTGTATTTCGAGTTTTGCAGTAACAAAATCCAGAGAAGCCAAAACAGATTGAGTGTTTCAGTGTGTAGATGCGTCTGTGCATGAACAGTCTCTAAATTGCAGTTGTGTATATGCATGTGTGCACAGACACAGGCCTTCCTATTCACCGTTCTCTTCAGTGTTAACCTCCGGGCCTTAAGATCCAAAGCAGTTCAGTGCCCAGTAATCTCTCCGGCCAAAAAGCAGGTAAACCAAGCAGCTCACTGAGGCTCGCTGTGTGGGGGAGCTTTACCTACAGCTCCACTCCTGGCAGAACAATAGAGCTCTCATTGGACCAAATTCCTCCATTCATACTCCAGAGATGGAAGCTCGGAGATTAAAGAGGCATTTGAATTTGGAAATACTGCTAATTGTGGTTTTCAGACACAATACAGTTTTTTTTAGAGACAACAATCAGGCCTTTTTGAGATTACTTAAAGGGGACCTATCATGCAAAATGCACTTTTGTACGTCTTTTATACATGAATATGTGTCCCCGGTGTGTCAGGGAACTCACCAAGTGTCAGAAAACACAACCCTCTGTCTTTTCCTCCATACCCAAATCTCTAAAAACGGGGCTGCAACGGAGCTGATCCAGATTTGAAATTGTTCTGACGTCAGAAACGGGGAGCTCCACCTATCAGGGGAATGGGGGGTTGGGCCACGGCCATTGCCGCTCGAAAGCGCTGGAGACGCTGTAGTACATATGCCAGGCCTGTAAGTGGCGCTGTAGTCTGCCACAAAAGCAGCGAAGAAGACTTCTCACAGAATCAGCCCTTGCAAAAACAGGGCTGGAAAAGAGCAAATAGAGCGAAATGAGGCATGGCTAAAATGCATGATCTGTTTGGTATTTTGAAAAAAAAAACTTCACAGACATGTTTTATATAGGTATGGCCCTACAATATATTATTCAAATATAGCATGATAGGTCCACTTTAAATGCCTCCGCTTGAGGTATAAGCAGCATGTACTTTTAATGGGTTCTGATCCATCTGACGCTCTTGTTGCTTGATATCTTTTTTACCATATTGGTCTGCCAATTTATAAGGGCCATTTTAGGTAAAACAAAAAAATGTGGAGGCAGGTGGATTAGGGTATATTCAAGTAAACAAACACAAATACAAATAATAAGATCGGAAATTTGGATGAAATTGTAAAATATTGAAGTGTATCTTTTCTCATATTTAAAGCTTTTTTAGGAGTGAATTTACTTACACGAATATTAGCCCACCCGCCTTTTTGTCTTTCTTACATGTAATAATCTTTTAGTCTACACGGTAACCCTAGATCACAGACCAGCATCCAGCAAATTCTCCCTTTTGAGAAGCTGTTATAGAAGCAGCCATTTGTTTTATATTTAGGTTGATAAATGTGATGAGAAAATAGGTACACTTATTTACAATTTTGCTAAAAGTTAGATTAAGTAAGGGTAACAAATTCTGTCAACCAATTAAACTACCTCACCTCACCTAGAAACAAGTGTTATCTTGTTTCTTTAATCTGCCTAACCAACCAGTCTTAAAACGACAGGTTGTGGTTTCACAGGGGGTTAAGTGCCAGATAGGCTATATGTTCCTAAATGGGTCCTTTAGGGCTTTACAAAATTAAGAAATATATGTTTATCGCAGAAATCAAGAATGTTTTGCAAGTACCGCTTGAAGAATTGACAATGAAAACATAATCAGCCTTTAACAGTGAAAGGTAAACTCCACTTTCATGAGTCGGCTTTTTGTGTCCTAATATGAGCATAAAACTGCCTATGGTGAAAGAATTGTACTTTCACGGTGTCGGAGCAGTCTGAGGCTATTTTCAGACTTGTTTTTCTTCCACGGTGATTGTTCCCGTCCAAAAGGCCCAGCTCCTAGAAAGAATGCTGCGTTTCCTTCCCTTCTCCAGTCCAGCCACCCCTGTCCTCACAAACAGGACAGGTTGTGAAATATGAACTTAATCACCTACAGGAGCTATACATGCGAGAGGGCAGCCAGAGTTCGAAGACAATACATTGTTAGTGTTTGAGGTTTACACCAAAGCTTTACACGATCAGAAGAGTTCAGACACGGCCATATGAGTAAAGACTTGTTTTCCGTCATTATAAATCATGAGATGTAAGATTTATCTCATTAAACACACAGAGCAATTAATGGTGTGTTTAGTTTCCAACAATCATCAGTCAGCTTTTGATGGTTAAGCAATTCTGGATTGGGTTGCAACACCTATCCGTAAATCCATCACTGTGTGTAGGAAGTCCTCCCTACACTTTTAACAATAAATGGTGTCATATTTTTGGTGAACTCCGTTAGGTTGCACCTTTAAAACGTATTTTATACCTTAGGTAGTAAAGACTCGAGCAACGGGTAACTTGGTTGCTAGGAATTATATTTAGCTCTGTTAATTCTAGCCAAGTCAATATTATTTATATAACCCAATATTATAAACCACATATTTGCCCCAGGGGACTTTCAGTGTGTTGTATGCTTAACAATCTGTAGATCAAACAATACAAACAAAAACACACACAGTTTTAGGAGCCAAATTATGTATTCAACTTAACTGTACATCTTTTGAATTTATTACAAATATGCACATAGAGGAATATTTATGAATATATTTGTCTAACCAATCTCATGAGGTCATTCACTCGGATGTGTTGTTTAAGAGAAATGTAAAATTAAAACTATCCAGTTTAAATTGCTTTGAATTATTAAAAAGTGTAAGTGTCATTAAAGGTAGGGTAGGTAAGTTTGAGAAACCGGCTCGAGATACACTTTTTGTTATATTCCATGGAATGCTCTTAACATCCCGATAGCAATGAATATCTTAAGTGCTTTGACAAAAAATCCATAAAAAAATGTCATCTGTGGAAGCTGTAGTACTGTAAAAAGCACGACCAATCATTTTAGTCGGCCCGGCTAAAATAACTGGATGTTCTACCTGCCTGTCAGCCTTCCATCTGTGCACAAACTTATCTCGTGCCCTCATTGGTCCTGTGCGCGTTCGTGTGTGTTGGAGGAGGGGCTCTGTAAGGAAGTGGCAGATTTTCTCCGGTTGTGTATTTTCAAATTCTAGCGATCTCGAGCCGGTTTCTCAAACTTACCTACCCTACCTTTAATATATATATATTATATATATATATATATAAATTAAATAAGCGCCAATCAACTATATCTTGGTACACTTTACTAAAAGTTTTACTTATTAGCATGCTAAAATAAATATTTTTGTAAGAATATTTGTGTTTGTCAGCAGGAATACAGAAGAAACACGTCTGATAGTTGGAGAAAGGATGTACAATGGGCCAAAGATGAACTCATTGTTTTTTGGAGCTGATCTCAATTGCTCAGTGAATCTCAAAATTCCCTTTTATTATTTAACTTACAAAAAAGGCCTTGGCGCAGGTCTGCACTCTCCAGGTGCCCCTGTAGTTTCTATTTGGATACACATGATAATCCCAATCACAGAGAGTTCCTTAATCCAAAATCAAACTAGGAAGTTTGCTTTTTGCCTTTCTTTTCTTTTCTTCCTTATATGTTTGACTAACCTCTGCTTGCCTTAGGGTTTGCTTAAAACTTGTATGATCTTCTGACTGCTTGAGCCTCTTGCTCTGTCTGACTCTCTTTTCAATATGGTTGCATCACCAGGTGATTAAAATGTTAATATTCCTGAAAGAAATGATGGTCAAACTACAAATATAAGATATATATATAGTCAAAACTACAGTGACCTGACTTCACAGTTTAAGGATAACAGTACAAGTAAACATTCAATAGCCATAACAATAAACAAGACCGCTTTCCAGGGATAAGGTTAGAGATAAAACCAGATGACAACTAAAGGCTGGCGTGTTTACAGATAAACACAGCAGCACCCTGTTGCTTTACCTTAGCTCTACCCTGAAACACTTATCTGACAATAAGACACTGCCTGTGCATTAGCTGCTTTGAGAAATCCAAAGATATGGATATTCTGGTTACACAAGACACATTATTTAAGGGTTACACAATCATAAGTGTGATATCAACATTGCAATATGGTGATTGTGTGTACCTGTTCAGGCATTGTGTGAGAAGAGCATGTTGGGCAAGTGTATATTGGTGAGTTTAATTTGGAATCAAAAGTGCGTGTGTGTGTGATGTCCAAATAGCTGGGGAGTTGTTTACCTTGGAGACTGCAGTGACCGCTTCCTCCTCCTCTTCCTCTCCTTCTATGTCTTTGTCCTGTGACACACACACAGCAGCAGTGGGTTAACACAAATAGCCACCCCAACACACACACACACACACACACACACACACACACACACACACACACACACACACACACACACACACACACACCACACACACACACACACACACACACACACACACACACACACCACACACACACACACACACACACACACACACACACACACACACACACACATCACACACACACACACACACACACACTACACACACACACACACACACACACACACCACACACACACACACACACACACACACACACACACACACACACCACACACACACACACACACACACACACACACACACACACACACACACACACCACCACACCACACCCACACCACACACACACACACACACACCCACACACCACACACACACACACACCTGTAAGGTAAACACGCTCTGTTTGGAGGGCAAAATGCAGGGATGGATGGAGAATGAGGGGAAGCTACTGAACTCAGAGCGCATATTTAAACAAAAGAGAGAGAAATAAGGTTATGACCTATTGCCTCAACAGTACATTACACTATTTGAGTATATAAGTAGAGCTATTTTGGGCTCCATTGTGCCTCCAGTCTCCGGGCTTTTATTCCGTTTGTCATATATCCTTTGTATAATATTTGTGTGATAGTTTCTTTGTTTATTATTTTATGTGAAGCATATTGTAACTTTGTTTTGGTAAGACATTGCCAGTGGTGCAAGAAGTAGATATTTTACTTATGTAAAAGTAGAAATACTACATGGTAAAACAACTATTTTTCAAGAAAAAGTACTTATTGTGCATGATGTCCTATTTCAGAATCATTTAATGTACTTGATTATGGATGCATTAATGTGTTCATCCCAGCTGGTGAAGGTGGAGCTAATTTTAATTACTTGATATACTGCTGCTCTATATCTTAACCTATAATTGTATCATCATATGTATTCATTTATATATATGTTGTATTATCTTATAATCTGAATATGTGAAGTAACTTTTTTTCAAATAAATGTAGTAAAGTAAAAAGAACAATGTTTACTTCTAAAATGCAGTGGAGCAGAAGCATAAAGTAGCATAATCGAATGAAAATACCCCACAATCTTACTTAAGCACAGTAATTGAGTAAATGTACTTCAATATATTACACCACTGAACATGGCCTGTGACTTGAGTGTTCCATAAAAATGATAAAGCACATTCAATAATGTTGTTGGTAACCTTTTATATCCATTTTGACTGATATTTACAGTGCGTGATTGACTCGTGCTTTGCCTGTTACTGTAAGACATATAACATGACTTGGATTTGCTCCGAAAAACATGAAATCATAAGGGGGCGGCAAGAAGTCATCAGACATACAGCTGAGCCTGAGATTACTGAAGTGGAGCCAGAATTCCTGTAAAATGATCAAAGCTATAAGAACTTCTTACATCTAACAACTCCATGAGAGAGAGGAGGAGAGACGCTGGTTGGACATGTCTGAGCAAAGTCTACTGGGTCTCCGCCACCTGAGCTGATCAAAGACACAATACTGATTGCTGACTACTGTCAGAGCGTAAAAGCATTAACAACTTGGAACAGAGGAAAGAGTGAGAGAAGGGGGAGACTCAGGGGGGGAGAGGGGCGCTCCTGCCAACAGAAATCAAGAGTTCTGCTCTGGCACCTCGCGGGGGGGGGGGGGGCAGTTGTTCTCTGTCTGCCTCTTTTTTCCTCTTAGACTGGGTCTGTGTACAAGTGTGTACATTTCACCAGTGTTGTCTTTTAAATGCCAGATTACTAGGCAATACAGACGCACGGTGAATTTTAACACAGTAGTATAAACTGAGGTTTTGAAAGGCATTGCAACCCAACAATAGTCAATAACAAACCACACTGTCCAAGCCCAGACACTCACAACATGTTTTTGTCTGACAAACACTAGGCCACATCTACCTAAAGTATTTTTGTTAGTTAGTTAAGAATATTGCTACCACTCTCATACCTGTGCAGTCAAAATAGGGCGACAAAGCCAGGACAATTTGAGCTTAGCTGAGCATAAAGACTGGAAAATGGGGTAAACAGCTTGAATGCGACAATCAAGCAAAGTGGGAAGACACAGGAGAACTTCCTGATATTCCAGCTTTTAAAACAGGAATAACCTAAATGTGCCTTTTTGGTTGGTGTTATGATACAAACAAGACCAGATACCCACATCTGTGTATAGCTCCTTTTAAATCAGCAGAATCAATGAGTGTCAATGATGGATTTTATTGAGCATGAGATATCATTACTGTCAGAAATTGCCAGCATCTCAAGTCGGAGGCAAGTTCCCGACTCAGCTGCTCATAATAATGGTTTAGAATGATGCATCTGTCAGAAGACAACTGTCCTATAGCATCTCTAAATCTCACTAGTTAGCCCACCATATCTTATTCATCATTGTCAAAATCACAGCTTGTGGTTTTACATTAGAAACAGTGACTTCCTCGAGTCCTTTGACAGAGGCGAGCTAGCTGTTTCCCCCTGTATTCAGTCTGTGCGCTAAGCTGCTACGGCTTCATGATAAACGTAATTCTCTACAAAGAATAATCATATTTTGAACGTCAAATGATTCCTTCAAAGTTATGAAAGCTTCAGACAAACCCTTTTAATTTATATCCTGAGGATTTGGTTTAACTTCTCAGTTAAAACTCACAGCGTTTGATTTTATTTGATTGAAACCCTAACCCCTTCAACAGTTGATCCACAGAGGCTTTACCTTTCTTCTCCTCACCACTAATGATTTATATGTGAGGTCTTCTGAAGTTAATGCTCAGGCCTGATCTGTACTCTCATGATCCCACTTCACAAAGAGTGCTGTGACGGTGGTGGTTTAGGGTGATGTTATTTAAGTATTCAGGTGTGTTAGCGCTTTAAGCCAAAGACAAACAGGCACACGCACCTCCTGCAAGCTCACAGCTGCCTCTAGCAGCCTGTTGAACCTCAGTGGAGTGAATGCAAGCTGCGGCACAGGGCCTGGTCTGTAGTCGCCCTGGAGCACTGTGGATATTAATTTCTCCCTTTATGCTCTGCCTCTTTTATTATTATATTATTATCCCTTTATACTTCTCTGTCTCTGTCTGTCTGCAGTTTGTCTGTATGGGCGATGCTGATAGTTTCAACTAATTTGACAGGCACAATAGGAAAATAATATCCACTGCCATAAAACATAATGGAGATAACAGAAAACAAACACTATGTAACTAAGAGGCCTACTGTGTCATTTAAAGTGGACCTATCATGCTATATTTGAATAATATAGTGTAGGACCATACCTATATAAGGCATATTTATACTTTTTTTTTTTCAAAATACCAAACAGATCATGCATTTTAGCCATGCCTCATTTCGCTCAATTTGAAAAATGTTAGCTCTGTTTTTGCAAGGGCTGATTCTGTGAGAACAGCACCATCTACAGGCCTGGCATATGTACTACAGCGTCTCCAGCGCTTTCGAACGGCAATGGCCGTGGCTGTCTCCTCCTGATTGGTGGAGTTGGCCCAATAGCCGTAGCGCCACTGTCCTGACGTCAGGACAGAGTTCAAATCTGGATCAGTTTTTATCAGATCCGTTGCAGCCCCTTTTTTAGAGATTTGGGTATGGAGGAAAATAGAGAGGGTTGTGTTTTCTGACACTTGGTGAGTTCCCTGGAACACCGGGGACACATATTCATGTATAAAAGACGTACAAAAGTGCATTTTGCATGATAGGTCCCCTTTAATGATTATTAGCAAACATAACATTTTGATCAAGAAATAAAATACAGCTTTGTACAAGAGTCAGATAAGTGGTGTTATCCCTGTGTGTACCACCAGGATTAATGTGGAGAAAGTTAAATACATTTTATTTGCATCTGTGAATCTGTATCTGTTCCATTTTCTCAACTTTTTTGCTGGTTTCCTTGTGTTCCACGAAACTGTAAGTATTTAAGTTACGAACTGTTGAACAGACAAACAAACAATATGATTATGTCAACTTGCATTGTCGGAAATTGTAATGAGTGTTTCCTTATTGTGTGATATATAACGTGAATAGTCAATAAAAACGTTTTAAGTTACTAAACAAGATTGTTATTTATACCATAAGCATATTTTGAACCCCTTTCCTTTTAAATTTCACTTTTTTGTAGCTTTAATGTTAATTTCAATTTTTTTTAACTCAGTCTGACAGTCTGATTATCTTTATTGAATCTTAAATAACTTTTTTTTTTAACTAAAACATTCATGAAAGTGATCGTGACGCAAATATCTTTGACCCTCTCTTGATGACCATCGGATTGTAAATAAGGGAAAGGAAAGGCCAGCAAGTCCAGAAGTTGTTTTCATAACTCTTTGGTTCATCCTGTATCATTGCTGGACTCGATCTGCCTCTTCACTTTGTTTACAACTTTTTATGACCCGACCCCTGACCCATCCATGTACTTTATCGCCATGACGACTCAAGAGGACCTCCCTGATGACTTTCCCAGGAATTCTGAGGAGAAGTCGCTGCCCTGATCCCAGACCAGCTCTCATCGTCCTAAGATCTGGTGAGGACTTGAGAGAGAGACACAAACTGAACTCTGAGCAGCTCTGTGAAGGTAAGGGACACTAGCGTTGGTTCCCAGGGTGGAAGTAAAGAAGTCTAATAAAACCCAGCCAAGGGTCACAGATCTCGACATTATCACAACAGATAAAAAAATGCTGGGAAGTGGTGTTGGTCCATCTTCCCAATTGCCAAGACACATTTATACATCCAGGGATTGCTGTGTGGCTTAAATGCGGGTCATGGGTAAAATCTGACACGGTTCATCACAAGATCCAAACTATAAAAGTATTTTCTTTTCTATGTGATGTTGCTCCCCCTTTTTCATGATAATCTTATCCGTCAATGTTTGGTTTTACTTCAGCAATTCAAGCACTATATCACATAATATTGACGTGTTAGTAAGCCTGCAACTGAATACTTTTATTTAGTCTCTCCATTAAACCTTTATTCACAGTGTAATAGTTTGAATACATTTTTATCACACTTACAGAAGCTAAGCTAAGAAAAAAGATGACAGACGCATGATGATAGCACATCATGTGTCTGTGAGTTTTAAGCTATGTCTACTCGGACATTTGATAATTTACTGTATATCAACCAAACTAATGTTAGGGCTCCTTTAAGTAGCATTTAGGACTTTACTACAAGTCAAAATCTGATACTTGTCTCATTTAAATTCTACTATAAAACAAATATATGTTCCAAAGGTTAAAAAGTACAAATTAGATAGGATTTTACAGCAAGAAGCTGAACAAATAAACATGCAGCTTACTATTTAGAATGAGATGGGACTGCTATGACTTTTGGCCTTTGTGTGTGTGTGTGTTATCATGGATTCTCCCCTATGCCCCCCAATACCTTGACAGATCCCAGCTGCCTGCTGATACAGCGGCTCTTAGACCTCACACACCATTGCTCAACTGACTAATGTGGATTTGTATTAAAAGAGCATGTGTGTTTATATTCATTTTTACATATTAGTCCTGTCTGACAATCAAAATGTTATATGTAATTCATGTTGATATGTATCCTATATTCAAAGAAGCACAATGTGGAATGTTTTCTATTTAAACTGATTTGTTATATATTGTTACAGTTTTGCAGTCTTCATGTATCCTATGTTAGGATTGGATTGGCTCTCTGGGAGACATTGAGCTACCTCTTTTCTGTCACTTCCTCCTCAGTTAGCATGACAGAAGTTTGAGCACTTGTCCTCTTCCCTCTGCTCCACAATCTCAGTAACAGAATCAGATGTATTTGTTCACCTTTTAAGGAAATGTATCATCTTCAAAGTTGGGTAATGTAGTTTAAATCATTTTGAGATGGGTAATAAGTTATGTCTACAGTTCATGGATTCAATATTAATTTACTTTAAAATAATTTGTGTAAAAGTATCCATCTTAACAAATAATTTAAGCTGTTTTAAAATTGTATTTGGGGAAATATATTGTTGTCATACAATGTTTTTTTGACTCACTAAATCCCTCGAGCCTCATATTCATATCCTGACATTTAGAAGACAACTGAACAAGTGGATTGATACATTTTAGCCGAGCTCCAATTAATCATTTAGCCATTTTCTAACACTATTGTTTGAGGAAAGACACACACTATCATACAGTAAATAGTTGTCATTGTTAGAGATACATTGTCTCAATCCGTGTCATTACCTTGTAGGAGTGATGCTGGTGCCAGGACATGTCGTCTTCCTCTGACGCATAATCCACCAGCACTTTACTCTTGCTTTTCTTAAACATATCTCCACTTGTCGCTGAAACAAACCGTCTTGGCCGGTTGCCTTGTTTGGCCCCAATTCTAAGGTTCAACTTGAACAGTTGGTCTCGTTTTGTCCGTTTAATGTGGAGGTCGTAGCGAGGCACCTCCGTTGCACGTTCCGCTCTTTTGGTTATTTCTCCAGAAACAAATCCAGACAGCTTTCTCCGAAAAGCTTATTAATTCATACAAGTGCCAGGTACTGCAACGATCGAGTTTTTTTCTGCCTTTTCCGCAAGCGTTTGGAGTGTGTTTGGTGCGTTTTTACGCAGGCTCGACCACCTGGACCTCAAACCTTCGCTCCTCCCAGTCGTCCCCCCTGCTCCGGATCCTTGATGTTGCCATGGTAGAAGAAGGAGGAAGGGGTCATACGTCTCATCTCCGGCCAATGCAAGCATTGAACTACGCATCATGCAAATATATTGTCACTTTTTCATATCTTTGATATGTGCAGACTGGAATAAACACGGAAACGGATATTTGGAAGCTGTTGCCTGAGTATTTTCTTTTGAAATATGTATATTGTCTATTTTATGTTCAAATGATATACTCTGACATAAGCAGAGGTGAAAGAACTAGAAGTACTCTGATTATTTACTTCAGTAAAATAGCAGCAACACAATGTGAATACTTCTTATACAGTCTTGAAAACCAAAATGAAAGTACCATATTATTGAATTATGCTTATTAATTCATAAACCAGTCAGTTATGTTGCTGCTGGTCATCGTATAATTAATGTTCGTATAGGCAGCTTCATCTTCAACAATACATCGTTATTCATTAAAAAAAATGTCATGGTATGTAATGTAAAATCCTATTATACCAAGTCATACAAATTATAAAAATATTTTCCTAAATATATTTTATTATGTAATTGTCTTGCTGCTGTGTTTTTCCTATGAGTGTTTTTCAGTATTATCAAAGTGGGATATGTTACACAAGGAGTTCTGAAATTATTATTAGGATATCTAGACACATGGGCACACATTCTAAAAAAGGAACAATCTTAATCTAGGTTTTTTCTATTCAATCATGAATTATTTTTAGTTGGTTGATGTATTGAGATGAGTAGTTTCGGTTAAAGGTTCACTGTGATCCTCCAAATATTTTCAGGAACTAAATCAATCATTGAGTGAGTTTAGGATGAAAACAACTGAGGGTTTGTTTCTATCTCAACTTTTTTAAAGGCCGATCCTGTATTAATTATAGACAAAGATTGTTTGTTGAATAAAATAAATAAAATGTATTTCAGTACGGTTATTACCTGTTTGGGGTTAGGAAACTTAATGTGTTATACGAACAGAGGACAGGAGGACCTTTTATAGACGTTGGTAATGTATTTAGGTAAGAATGAAATCTCTCTCTCTCTGAGACCTCTGACGCCAGAGGAAACAAATGACACATTATGCTGCTGGGCTGACGCTGGCCGCTTAAAATAGCAACAGTTTAGCTCCGGTTAAGACCACTCACCTGATTCAAAGGTTCTTAAATTCCCATTTCAATGTCCACATTATACAGTAAAGTCAGTGGGGAATGTGGATTGTTACATGTCTAAGAACTTATAGGAAAAACGCAAAAAACACAGACGCTGTTTTTGAGAATTCTACATAATTTCTCTGAACGGAAAAGGTTTTGAGACAGCAGTGTTTAAGTCATACAAGGTGTTATGCAATGTTGTTGTGTCTGTGTGCACCAAAGTCCATTTGCAGTAATGTTCTTTATTGATTACTTTTATATGTGTAAGTGTCAGCTCTTCATTAGCAGCTGACACAAGCAATGACTGGCTGTTAGGACTGTCATCCATCAACAGGGAGGTCAGTGACCTCTGACCTCTGAGGTCATCAGTTAGTCAACTGCCAATTTAAGACCCTTTCTTGGATGTGTATTCCCAGAGTATCTCTACATTGGTTATTTACAGTCTAGGTGGCCCTGGTTGCGACATGGATGTCACTAATCAATCCTCTTGATAGTCTTTGCCCTACAAAGACTATTTTTTACAAATTAGAAACCCCTCTAGGAACTCATAGATCTGAGAGGACAAACTGACGTCCTTCATACTGTGTTAGAAGTATGGATTATCTGCTAATAAACTATACCATATTTGCAATCTTTTTCAGAATACCAACAAGAACACCCACTATATGTACTATATGTTGGCATGTACGATATGCATATTTTTACACTCTAATCATTGAGACAGCAGGTAAGGTCTGACAGGGTCACAGTTATGATGGGACACAGCTGGGATTATCCAACCTGCTTTGAATGTCTCACATGGACACAGATGTACTGTACTGTGCAGCTTAAACTAGTCTTTAAGAATGTCTGGGGCAATGTGCTTAACTTCTTTAATGCTAAGTTGTTTTTTTCTCCATGAAGTCAGAACAAGACAGTAAATATCTTGTATAAAACTTTATTTTTTACCCTGTCTCGGTTCTCATCATAATTTTTTATTTGAGTTATAAATGATAAGAACTGGTTAAATAGACCTAAAATATATTTTTTCACAAAGGCTTCAGTCATTTTACTCAGCAAAAAGAAGGAGCTGGCAGAGATAAAGCATGACTCAACAACTAGCTGACTTGATTCAAAGGTCACAGGGTTTCTCCCACGGGACTACATCAAAACGTGTTAGCCAGGAACAGAGATTAAAGCTTTAATTATGTTCACAGGCCAACTCTGTGGGATGTTCCTTAGAGACTGTATTCAGTGTAGCTTTAATGAACAGTTTGTATCTTAAGAGTGATTTAAACTCCATATCATTTAAATTACCATTTACATTTGAGGTGTGCATGCTCAAGTTGCATTTATGAGCATTGTAGAATATTTATTATGTAATTTCAATGTAAGGCTTGTTTTAAGTTTTCAATCAACAAAGTCGGTAAGATCAGGCAAAAAAGCTCAGAGTTACTCATTGTTAGTGGGAAAAGTTGTTTCAACAAGACTGCAATTGTACATTGCACTTAAACCTTTTAACATGTTTACACAACAATTGTATGTGATTAAATCAGAATAAATAAGAATCTTTGAAGTGTGTAACTTTAAAATTACAAGCCAAATAATAACTATCTTTGCACTTTTTCCCTTTTATCTGTACTTCCAGTCTCCTTATTGTTTTAAAAACGAATTTGTAATATAGTTTACGTAGTTCAAATGGTTTTGATGGTTTGGAAAGATGCTCCTATTTCTCTGCCTGCTTTCTTCTTAACAATGGCCCTTCCTGTCTTTTGAGAGGGAATTTTCGATAACCGGCTCATTAAACTTCAGCTTTCTTTCAGAAGAAATATAGAAGGAAACAAAATGTGAGAATGAAAGTCTTTGCTAGAAAATGTCAAAGGTCACAAGAGGGGGTAAGGTGTTGGAAAAGTAGAACATCTTGGGGGGTCTTGAAGCTGTAGAGCAGGTAGTCGAGTTTTGGAACACCTGTGAATTTAGTGTTGGCTCATTTGGTGCAGCTTTCTTTCACAGAAATAAGGGGCAGTAAGTGTAGAGCTTTGAAGTACATTTAGATTTATCTAAATTGTCCTTCAGGCAATCGTGCATACGAGTTAGTATTGATTGTCTTTTTATACATCTGCGGCCAACATTTTCTTAATTAGTGTAAGGAGCTCAACAGTTTTATATTTGCAAGAGGACATTTTAGCTTTCCAAAAGGCTTGTAACTGGCTCCTAAGTCCATTCACAAGAAGGTAATATTCAGTCACAGCTCATCAATTCTGCACAGCAGACCTAAAATAGATTGGATGTGCCTTGGCACGCACCCACCTTGTGTTTGGTAACAAGCTGCCAGTTAACATCAGACATCCACACGACTGCAACTTCCTCTGTGAATGTATCTAATATGTTTAGGTCATGTTCATATATTATATTGTTATATGTGGGGTTGTTTTGTGTTTGTGTGTGTGTCACAGCATGGCAGCATGGATTAGGACAGAAGGAAAAAAAAGATCTCCTGAACACGGGAGGTGTTTTAATGAGCTCAAGGTAGTGACCATATTTAAAACAAGGCTAAGCTTTTCCGCTGTCTAAGAAGAGCCATTTAAAGGGTGGAGGAAAGTGCTGCGTCAACACACAAATACACCAGGCACGAAAAAGAATTGTGCTTCATCATGCTGGAAAATGTGTGCACAAGTGTGTTTATGTTTGTGTGTAGGTAAAGGGAGAAAGAAAAGTAATATACAGGTGTGAAAATAAGAAACAAAGAATACACTACATGCTTATATTGTTGATGATTGTTGCAAGTTACAGTATTTTATGGCTCTGATGATGATCTACACTTTTGTTGTTAACTTTAAGCTCCCAAAAGTAATTTGATATGATGACATATTGTATAAACGCTGAAAGAATTCACATCCACAAGGAAGTCAAAGGCCACAATCTTCAACAGAGAGCTACCCGCTGATACAGATTCAGTGTCTCGCTGAAAGACCCTTCATGGGGTGTTTACTCTGCACTTGCCACGCTCTGGGTTTGAACTTTAGACTCCAAAGAACCCAAATAAAGTGCTGACTAACACTTTGGCACAATGCTTGTATTTGTAGGTTAACAGTGTGGCCTGCAGCTGCTCTGCCACTGACCATATGTGCAGCTAATGAGCAAATTGTCATTCTTTGTACACACTCGCACTAGCTGTAAGAAAGTGAGGGGTTCTACAATGTTTTCTGATTCATCAGAAGCAACTGTTACACAGTCTCACAAATGTGTTGCTGGACTTCATACATTGGACTACTTTTGATATTTCTTCCCCTTTCATATGATACTGTAAGATTACATTCTAAACACTGAGAACTCCACTTTGGACACTACATAAACACATGTGAGCACATAGATATACACACACACACACACACACACACACACACACACACACACACACACACACACACACACACACACACACACACACACACACACACACACACAGGCAGTTTTTAAGGGTTCAAATGTTAAAAGACCTTGTGGATATGTCCATGACTCATTCTCATCCATTTCTTTGGTAGCCGAGACATTTAGCTCTTTGTTGTTGACCGTAAGAGACGGTAACAAGAGCCTCCTGAGGAGAAGCCACTGAAACAGACACACAATAGACCTCTGTGTGTGTGTGTGTGTGTGTGTGTGTGTGTGTGTGTGTGTGTCTGTGTGTGTGTGTGTGTGTGTGTGTGTGTGTGTGTGTGTGTGTGTGTGTGTGTGTGTCTGTGTGTGTGTGTTTTAACTTGAAGAGTTCTACAGTGAGAAATTCTGTCTGTCTGTCCTTGACTCCTGACTCCTCTCCTCCCTGAGGCTGCATGGGATCCTGATAAAAAATAATCCAGACAAACAGGTATGTTTCCATGCACAAAAGGCTTCAAGGTAGCGATAAAACCAATGTTAATCACTGTAGGTATTGGGATCTCCCGGTATAGTTGCA